TTGACAGAGAAGCGCCGGCACAGCACCAGGCTCTCCCCGAGACTGGACGCGGGGCAAGGGGTGGAGGGGGAGGGTGAACCAGAAAGACCACGGCCAGACCAGAGGGATCTGGAAGGCACTGAAGCCGAGGGGCAGCACCCTCGCACTCACCTCGCTCTGCAGGCTCCCAGAACCTCCCCGGGAAGCGGGAAAGCAACTAGAAGCACGCCCCCCGGAAGTGGGGGTGAGCGTGCCCCTCTAGGAACCCCGGAAGATTACAATTCTGTGGCAGTCATGCTCTTTGGGGAGAGGGCTAGGGAGGGGTGTGCTGGGAAAGGAGTGACTGAATATGTGATAAAATCAAAGATTACAGTGAACTAGATCTTGAGAGTTGAATCAAGTCAGAGCGTGGAAGAGACTGTTAGGTTTTCAAGGTGTGTTCAATATTCGTGCTATCCAATTAGGCACCATTGGCCACATGAAGCTATTGATTAAAATAATGTGTACTTTTCCCTCCAATTGATCTGACTGCAAAGGACCCCATGCTGATGATGATTAAGATCATTGTTTTGAGACATACAGTTTTCCTGAGTGTGGAAAAAGGATTAAATCAAAATACGGGCGTTGAGCAGGTTCTGAAATACACCTCAGAAACAACAGTCTTGTTCTTTCAGGACTCAGGTGGTGAACTACATACAGGCCTTCCAACAAAGCTAGTCATTTATATGGATCGCCTATTTTTTTCTTAAAAGCAAGGTTTCAGCTTTAATACCAGCACTCTGGAGGCAGAAGCAAGTGGATCTTGGTGAGTGCAAGACCAACCTGGTCTACAAAGTGAGTTCCAGGACAGCCAGGACTGTTATAGAGAAACTCTGTCTCAGAAAACTTTTTAAAACCAAACCATGATTACAAACAACAAAAAGAACAATGTCCTTGCTGTTTTCTCTGGCCCCAGTTCTGTTATTCACTGAGCTTTGTACAGTGTGTAATTTTGTAGTCATGACACAAGATTCTGAATGCATCTCCTCACTTCTCCAAGAGTCTCCAAGCTGAGGGCTCAGGTTTTTGAAGACCATTCTAAATGTTTTGTGTGTGCTGTAGCACAGTATCTAACATAGAAATACTTATTGAATAAATAAATTCATGCAGGTGGCACACACCTTTAATCTCAGCAATCAGAGGTAAAGGCAGGTGGATCTCTGTCTATATAATGAGTTCTAGAACAGTCAGAGCTACATAATAGAGACCCTGCCTCAAAAAATAAAACCCGATAATAATGTTAACCCAAGGTTTCATTCCATGATTGTGAATTTCAGCTTACACCTGTGGCTCCTAGCTTGACTATATTTTCTTTCACTTAGCTCCTCCTATGTTCCTTTCTGCTTTGTCAATATCATATTCCAGCATTAGACTCATAGACACATGAGCACTACAAGACTATCTGACCAGTTCCTATATTTTTATAAGCCAATTTTCCTTAAGTATATACATACAACACATACATGCTATTACTATTGTGTTTCTCTGGTTGAACATTGATGCTGTATCAATAAAATAATTTCATGATGAAAAGGTGGGTGTAGTCATGAACACCTAAAATCTCATTACTCAGGAACCTAAGGCAGGAAGACATCCGGGAGTTCAAGGCCAACCTAGGTTGCATAGTGAGTTCCAGATCAGCCAGAGCTATACTGCTAGACCCTCTCTCTCTCTCTCTCTCTCTCTCTCTCTCTCTCTCTCTCTCTCTCTGTCTCTCTCTCTCTCTCACACGCACACAAAAAAAAAACCCACCACCACATGAGAGGACTGAAAGAAGGTTCAGTGGATAAAGGCACTTGCTGTCACAGCTAATGACCTGAATTTGATTTCTGGGACTCAACAAAATGGAAGGAGACAGCCACCTAAAGCAATTTTCCCCCGACCTCCATGCTATGTATGGCATGTGCAAAGACACATAACACACTAAATAAATAATGTAATTTGAGAGAGAGAGAGAGAGAGAGAGAGAGAGAGAGAGAGAGAGAATAAGAAATAAGCCATGTCTTTAATCCCAGCAACACAGTAAGTAGGCTCAGGCAGGCCCGGGCCTTGGCTTAGTGGGGTGTGTGTGGTGGCTGGGCTTATGTCAACTTGACACACAAACTAGAGTTATCTGAAAGGAGCGAACTTTAACTGAGAAAATGCCTCTATAAGATTCAGCTGTAGGGCATTTTCTTAGTTATTGATGGGAGAGCGCACAGCCCATTGTGAGTGGGGCCATCCCTGGGCTGGTGTCCTGTGTTCTGAAAGAAAGCCGACTGAACAAGCTAGGAGAAGCAAACTTAGAAAGCAGCACCTTTCATGGCCTCTGCATCAGCTCCTGCCTCTAGGATCCTGCCCTGTTTGAGTTCCTGTCCTGACTTCCTTTGGTGATGAAAAGCGATATGGAAGAGTAAACCAATAAACACTTTCCTCCTCAACTTGCTTTTAGGTCACGATGTTTTCATAGCAGCAACAGAAACCCTGACTAAAACAGATGGGGTGGGGCGGGAGGGCTATGTAAAAGACAGCTGGGGATATAGTTCAGTAGTCGAATGTTTGCCTAGCATGTTCAATCCTCTGGATGGATGGCGAGGAAGGGAGGGAAAAAGAGGAATAAAGTTCACTTAGGAAAGTGATTAAATGCTGGGGTGGGGGTAAGAGGAACAGGCAGATGCTGCACAGAAACGGGTCACGAGAGCTAATTATCCGGTCAGAAAAATATCCGGCCTTAGAGAGTTTTTACGAAAGATGATGGATTCTGACATTCACCTCAAGAACCAGTAAAGCGGAGCAAAGGACGAGCTTTTGAGGCAAGAGAGCGCCTAGCTGGGAGCCGGCCGCTTTAGGGAACGCACAGGATCCTAATTCACACTGCGCATGCGTGAGGAAGCAACTTAGAGCTATGAGACTCCCAGTTTCCTAGAGCGACCCAGAGAGCATCCGGAAGGTGGAGGGATTGTGGGTAGTGGTGTTTGACAGGCAATTTTTCCAGCACTGGAGAGTCAGGATGGCTTTTGGGTATGGAGGGAGAGCTTGTGGTCTGTGGACAGCTAGTCTGTGCTCACTGGGCCTTGATTCAACTGCATGAACGTCGGAAATGTTGGGGTGCTAGTGGAATTACGAAGTGGATGAACCCACAGTAATCAGCCTGCGGACCTGGAAGAGATACCTGACTTGTGAGTGTTAGAAGGGAAAGAAAGACAGAATAACATAATTTCTAGTGCAAATACTAAACCCCTTCCTGATTATTGTTCCAGTTACACCCCTAGTTTAGTATTATTAATTTCCGGTCTTGTTTGAACATCCCTCATCTTGTAAGGGGAATTGTGTTGGAGAGGGTTAATTCCCATTTCATGGACGATCTGAAAGGAAGCGATCACCAAGAGAAAAAGTACATGGAAGCTAAATAAGATTTTTCTCCTTCACTTTTTTTCTGTATCTAGAAGCCCTAGTCTCAGAAATGACATCTGTCCTCTGCACAATGGTCCCCATCTGCACTCAGGGCTACCACGTCGCCTGCAGGCTTCATACTGTTATGTGGACAAGAAGATCTTACAGAAGAAATGCTACTTCTCCAGTTGTTTCCTGAGGTGTCCAGTTGTTTCCTGAGGTGTCCAGTTGTTTCCTGAGGTGTCCAGTTGTGCCCCCATGGAGATCCAGTTCAGTTGTGAATCTCAGGAGCACCACCTTCTGTCAGGTGAGGAGCAGTGAATTGCATGTTACTTTCATGATGCCAGTATTCTCCATTGTCTACACCTCTCTGGTAAGCAATACCGTTCCTTTGGTGCTCTGAGCAAAGCCACTCAGCTTTGTTTTGAATTCTAGCAACCCAGTTTTAATAGTTGCTTCTTCCTTTTAAAATAGATTATTGTTTATGTTTACAAGTATAATTTCATACATGTAAACAATGCATTTTGATCACATTCACCCCCAACTTGCCTTACCATTTATCTAGATACCCTCCCCAATTCCTGCTGCCTCCCTTCTTTGTAAATTTCCTGTAGAAATTTTGACATATCTTATTGGCTTGATCTTGTGCAGATAGTCATAGCTGCAATGAGTTCAATGCCGCGTCTAAAAGATAGCAGTTTACAGAATCCCTCCCCACCTTCCAGTTCATTCATCCTCTTTGCCCTCTCTTCTGGAGTGTTCCTTGTGCCTAGGGAGTAGGCAGGTTACAGTAGAGGTCCCATTTAGGACTTAGTACTCACTAGTCACTTATGCTCAGTTCTTTGACCAGCTGTCATTAACTGCTGTGCATTAACTGCTGACCACTGCGGAGAGAAGCATCTCTGGCGAGAGTTGAGGGCAGCACTAACCTAGATGTGTAAACATAAATATTTAGAAGGCAGTTTGACAGCATGTCCATTTAGCAAGACACCAGTAGTAGTTTCTCCACTAGGGCCTATGGCTTTTAACCAGTTTTACACTGCTGGGCATGAATTATCTCCTGTCCAATCAAAAGACAGTTATTATTCCCTATGGTGGTTTGAATAAGAATGACCTTGATAAGCTCATATATTTGAACGCTTAGTCATCAGGAAGTGGCACTACTTGAGAAGGATCAGGAGGTATGGTCCTGTTGGAGGAAGTGTGTCACTGGGATGGGCTTTGAGATTTCAAAACCCCAAGCAGGCTGTTGCCTGAGAATCTGAATGTAGAACTCTCAGCTACTTCTCCAGAACCGTGTCTGCCCGAATGCTGCCATGCTCCCTGCCATGATGATAATGGACTAACCCTCTGAAACTGCAAGAAAGCCCCAATTAAATGCTTTCTTTTATAAGAGTTGCCATGGTCATGATGTCTCTTTATAGCAATAGAACAGTAATACCCCCATAACCTTTATGCCATTGTTGTACATGTAAACACATGTTGCCTTGCAGGTCAGGGTCTTAATTTTCTATTGATGTTCTAAGATATAGAGAAGGCAATATAGAGAAGAGTTTATTGGAGGCTTACTTACAGTTTTAGACATGTAATGTCCATGACCATCATGTCAGAGTATGGCAGCAGGCAGGGAAGTATGATACTGGAGCAGTATCACAGAGCTCACATCTTGCTCATGGCATACAGCAGCAACTTATTCCTTGGCATTGGAACCAGTCATTCTGACCACAATTTCTATAGTATGAAGAGCCTGAAATGGCCAAGAGACAAAGTTCCTAGCAATCATGACCTCGTTCCATAGCAGAAGCATTTCTCCATTGAGTGCTATAACTTCAGACTTACCAGGCCCAGGGTTGGGGTTAGGAAGCAAAAATAACCCAAGTGGATTGTTAAGTATATAATGGGGGAGAATGAGATGGCTCAGCAGGATAAGGTATTTACTGCCACGCCTGATGACCTGAGTTCAATCCTCAGGACCTACATGTGTGGAAGACTCCCACGGGTTGTGCTGGCTAATTTTATATCAACTTGACACAAGCTGAAGTCATCTGAGGGAACCTCAATTGAGAAAATGCATCCATAAGACTGGGCTGTAGACAACCCTGTAGGACATTTTCTTAATTAGTGACTAATGGGGGAGGGCCCAGCTCATTGTGGGTAGTAGTGTGTGTGTGTGCCACTCCTGGGCTGGTGGTCCTGGCTACCATACCAAATGCTGAGCAGCCATGATGAGCAAGCCAGTAAACAGCACTCTTCCAAGGCCTCTGCATCAGCTCCTCCTCCAGGTTTCTACCCTGTGTGAGCTCCTGCATTAGCTTTCCTCAATGAACTGTGCCTCTGGATCTGTAAACCAAATAAACTCTTTTTTCCCTGAGTTGCTTTTGGTTGTGGTGTTTCATCACAGCAGTAGTAACCCTAACTAAAACAGCTCCTCCACTCTTGGCTCCTATAACTGCATATGTATTCTGACCATTAAAAAAATAATGAGCTGCTTTTTGTCCTCTGGCTTAGGGCACATAGTGTGCCCTCTATGACAACTCCCCAATTTAGCCTTTAGATCATTTCATCATATTTCCAGGTCTGCATTCTTCTGGTTGATGGAGCATATGTAAGACCCACGAGCTACAAGTATGTGAGCTCACCACTCTGCTTCCTTTCCTGTAAGATTTCTTTTTGGAAGGTAGTATCATATAGGTCAGCACAGTAAAAAAACAATTTCCATAAATAAGTACAGATTTGTATGTACACTATGAACTTAATCCTTTGAAAACAAATTTCTGCCATCTTCATGACAGAACTGGCCCCATGCAGTGAATCTGCCTCCTGTACACACTCCCTGATCACTCTCCAGGAAGTGTTACCTTCATTGGTGTGTACTGTTGACTCTGGTTGTTGAATATTAGGGCACATAGAATTGATAATAGGCATGCCCACCTTGGAGAGAGGTGACTCATATGTTTGAAGCTATGTATAGCCTTTATCCTTGCTGCCATGTCCGTTCTGTACATGATAAGCCATGCCAGCTGGAATAGAGGCAGATTGACATGGTGCTGTGGGTGTTCTTGTCTAGCTGACAGGGTTCTTTGCTGGATTCCCTTTGCTGAAAATGTACAAAGAACACAAATATATTTGCATCCTTAGCCCATTCCAGAAGCTCTGTCTCAATGCTTCTCCCGGGATTGTTGTTTCTTTCTAGTGTTCCAATCATGTTCTTTTCATATATTTGATAAATGATTTGTCATTAGCCATGAATCAATCTAGGCTTATATCCTAGAATATTTCCTTTCATAAATAGTAGACAGTTTTATTTCTAAATTTCTGCCTGTGGGAAAATTTGCTTTCACCAGTGTCTGAAACCATCTCTGAATAGGAACATGAGTGAGAGTTTTCAGACCCATCTGTAAACCTGTTCTGAAATCACTTGTGTGTGGAATTTACTTATCTTGTAGATTTGCTTTTACAGTGGAATGCTGGTTTGCTCACTTTTAGATTTACTAGATCAAAACCCATCTAGTATATAACAAGCAGTTTGTAATGTGTAGCCATTTAGTATTCTGTGATCAAAGAGTCTCCATTGGTGCCTATTAAATAGTAACGCAGGATTTTCTTTTCACTTAGAAAACTGTTACCAGCAGAAGCATATGTGGTACTGCTCCACTGTAGTTCTCCTACAAATCTCCCATGTAGCATTTCTGACCATCACCTCTAATGCCATAGTTGTTCTTGGAATAATTAATGGTCAACTGAGAAATAAATATTTTTTTACTTTTTGCCTGTTAATGAGTCAGCAGTGGTTAGGTGATAGCAAGCCAAATTCAGGAATCTTATTTGTGATGGTTAACTTTAAGTGTCAACTTAAATACAACCTACATTAAAAACTTGATACAACCTACATTAATAGAGAAGAGAGTCTCAAATACAGTTGTGGGATTGTGTACATTGGGCTGGTCTGTTGGCATGACTGTTGGGATTGTCTTCATTAAGTTAGTAGATATGGGAAGATCCAACCCACAGTGGGCAGCAGCATTCCCTAGGCAAAGGGGCCTGAATTCTATAAATGTGGAGAGCTCAAGCTGAGTACAAGCAAGCAGACTGGCATGCACAACCCACATCTCCCTGCTCTGAATTGTAGATGTGTTGTGATGAGCTTAAGTTCCTGCCACTGTACCTTCCCCACAATGATGAGCTATAATCTGGAATTTTGAAATCAACTAAATATACTCTTTCATAAGTAGCTTGTTAGCAAAAATATTTTAGCAACAGAAATTGAACTAGAACAGTAGTCAAAGAAAGCTATCCAAATTACCAGACAGTTGGCTGGAGATCCTTTGGCCCAACCCAGAAAAACTCATAGGTAGGTAAGGAGAAGCTCCTCAAGCACTGCTGTCTGGCAGCCATTATCTCCCTCAGTGTTTGAGGGAGCAGCAGGCAGTAGACAAGTAGACTAGGCAGTGAATGACACCTGCTTCCATTACAGTCTTTGTGCAGGCCTTGGGCATTGGGACCTTTAACCCTTAACACCTGGTGGTCTTACACCTCTTAAATGTTGACTCCAAAGAAGTGATAGTGACCTGGACCAGCCGTTCTTCCTGAGTTCACACTGGGCCTCCAAAAGGGGGAGACCTGGGATGAGAAAGGAGGGGTAAAAACTGGGGTCAGGAGTGATGCAATGCTGATCACCCAAGGCAGCACATTTATTACTGCTACAGCTCCTTTTATGGTCCTCAAGTGGGGAAGCAAACAATAGTCAGTAAAATTCATCAGATGGCAAAGTTACTGGGAGCCTCTAGTTCCTCCTTTGCACGGCACATGCTGATAACAGTAAGTAAAGCATTTCACATCTCAGGGTCTAGAACATTTGACCACAACTTTAGGTGTTAAGCCCCAGGTCCAGGCCTTGGGCTCCTCCACACACACTCTCCTGCCAGAGCTCTGGGGCAGGTTCATTGCTGGTCTTGCCAATAAGGACCCTAACAGGGAGCAAAGTCCAGCATTCCTTGCTCCATCCACAGGGTTTCAAAGGGCCTTTGGTTCTACCTAGTCCCCAGCAAGATTTCTGTCTCAAACTCTTGCAGCAACTAACGCCTGCAATTTCCTTTCTCTTGTTCCTTACAGCCTTCCTTTTATCCTTCCATCTCAGAGCTCTGTCTTCTCTTGCTCTCTACTCCATTGCCCTGCTTCCTGCCCTGGCCACATTTGTTTAGTAGCTGCTTCAGAAAGCTGTCTTCCTTGCCCTTGAGCAACTTGGCCTGCCACCAGCAGCCAAGACCACCATTGTGTGAATGTCTCTAGTTACTGTTTTGTAGTATCAGCGCAGCCCACATGACTATAGGTAGGCAGGAAAGGATACCTGAGTAAAGCCTAATGTTACGTCACCAGGACAGCAGGAAAAAATGTCTCTGCTGGCTAAGAAGTGTTTAAGCCAATCATCTTTTATTTTTTTAGTTTTTTTTTTAAATGTTTATTCTGAACACTTTTAATTTAGAGGCCAATCATCTTTTTAGTTGGACCAATTTTAGCTATTTGTTTGGACCAGTCACAGCCTTTTCTCTCTGCAGCAAACACAGTTACTGGCTCAGCCTTGCTTTTAGCCCTAGTCATGGCAGTATCTCTCCTAGACCACATGGGCAAGTGCACCCACCCAGTGGCCTAGATGAAAGTGGCTGCAGAGAGAGAGAGAGAGAGAGACAGAGAGAGAGAGAGAGAGAGAGAGAGAGAGAGAGAGAGAGAGAGACCTTTGGCCAAAACAGCATCAGACAACCCTGACAGAGGCTATGCAAACAGCTATGATCTTCCTCTTGTTTTCAAGGTGTCCATGGAGTGTTCTAGATGGCTGATTATGGCATACGAATAGTACAGCTGGCTGTTTGTCTGATAGTCTTTTTACTGAAGTTAGCCAGGGCAGCAAGGGGGATGGGTGTCAGCATCTTGCCTTGTTGACAGGAAAATAAGTTTAAAGAACTCGCCACTGATAGGAATAGTGAGTTTTAGCACATTTTAGTGGTGCTTAGCACCTTCCAGGTGCCTGGAGATGATAGCTGGGTGAAGGGTCTGTGCTGAGCAGCAGGTGCTGACCTCTCAAATGGTGCCCCAGTTGTGTTGCTGTTGCCATTAACTGTTCTGTAGAGAACTGTCTCACCAATTGAATGGTTAGCTCCAGACGAATCCTTTTGTGACAACTAGTGATTGCAATACATCTTGAGTGTATGAAAGTTCCACCTACCTAGGCATATACCTGTACTGCATAAAAGGGGAAAATTTCGGATCACTAGGGGCAGAAATCGGGTGAATTTCTACCACTTTGGTGGCTTTGCTTGGATGGAGGCTAATTAGCCTGATGTCTATAAAGACAGAGCCTGGTGATATACCTGTGGAACAGTACAGAACTAAAGATCACCACGAAACAGTTCTTGCTGAAGATCCAGGTGCTAAAGAATTTAGTGCTAAGAGTCAGGCTCTGAAAAGTTCCCAAAGACGAGACCTGCTAGAGTCACATTGCAGAGTCCTGCTGGGGTCACACTGAGGAGTCCTGCTGGGGTCACACTGAGGAGTTAGCCTTGTGAGTTGTGCACAGTCTTAGTGCTGAGGCAGCGATGCCGTGGAGGTCAGCGCTGAAGTGGTCCTGAAGGGTCAGGTGATGTAGAGCAGATTCTGGAGATCACTGAAGAGTTCGGTGCTGAGGGGACAGGCTCTTTAGAGTCCATTGCTGAAGGGATTGGGTCCTGATAAGCTGAGTAAGGAATTGGGAGAATTCCTGCTAAAGAAGCTACTGAGGAGTTACTTCTGAGGAGTCCAAGGCTGAAGAGTTTTTCTCTGACAAGTGGGGTCATAGTTCATGCCAAGGACTTGGCAGCTAAGGGGTCTAATGGAGAGGAAGAGATAGGTAGGCAATTGTGCTTGCTTTATTTTAGCCTAAATACCTGAGCATTGTTAGATAAAACCCAACCAACTTCCCTTTCCTACACTTTTTACACTGCTTGCTTTAAGTATATTCATGAGTTAATAGCCCTAATTTAATCACACTTTAAAAAATGTATTTGTTTTAGTTTTATATGAGTTTTGCCATGGGTGTTGGGTCCCCCAGAACTGGGATTACAGACAGCTGTGAGCTGCTGTGTGGGTGCCGGGAATTGAACCCTGGTCCTCTGGAAGAGCAGTCAGTGCTCTTAACCACTGAGCTATAACGTGAAGTTACAAGTTAAGATATCTTTATTCAAGTAATACCAGCCAAGCATAAGCCAGAGCGTGCCCAGAGGCAGCAAGCTAGGGAGGCCAGAGAGAGGGGCTCCCCACGTGTCTGCCACTCCTTAAGAATTCCCCATGTGTCATCCTGAACCTCCCCTGATCATGCCCTCATGTGCATAGCCAGGTACACCTGTAGTGGCTCCTAGGAGGAGGGGCTACAATGTCTCCCTACACTGAGCCATCTCTCCAGCCCCCACAATTTTATTATCATAGTGAATCCATTTCAGGTTTCCCAGGTCTTCTGTGAAAATCATATCTTTATATCTCATAAGTCCTTTCTACACAGAGTGATCCAGTACTTATTGACTCTTCCCGTTTTCCTCAGTGTTTTTCCAATGTTGGATGCCTCTTAACTCATTTGCAGTCCATCACCTTAACCATGGGGGCTGCCTTGTACCATATCTTCCCCTCTTATTGTAATATCTATAGTTAAATACTAATTTGCTTCATCTGGAACTTTCTTACAACATGGAGCGCATTTTCCATCTGGAGTTTGTTTACTCTTCTAGATGGTGAGACAAAGATCAAGATTGGAGAGCCAGCTTCAGAGGAGGAAATGACAGGAAACATTGAAACATTGGCTGAAGAATCTGGCAGCCTCACTGAGGATGTTCTCCAGAATTCCAAAAGCAAAGAATTCCGTGAATCAGGGGATGAACTGAATGACCAGAATCTTTTAGAGAGAAGACAGTATGCCTGTGATGAATGCGGCCAAAGCTTTGCTTGGAATACAGGTCTTATTAGGCACCAAAGAACTCATTGGGAGAAACCTTATGAATGTGACGAATGTGGAAAGGCCTTTCGAATGAGCTCAGCCCTGGTTCTGCATCAGAGAATCCATACTGGAGAGAAACCCTATCCTTGTAATTGGTGTATTAAAAGCTTCAGTCGGAGCTCAGACCTTATTAAACATCAAAGAGTCCACACAGGTGAAAAACCTTACAAATGTGATGAATGTGGGAAAGCCTTCAGCCAGAGCTCAGATCTTATTATACACCAGAGAATCCATACAGGAGAGAAACCCTACCAATGCAGTCACTGTAGGAAAAGTTTCAGCCAGCGCTCAGACATGGTTAAACATCAGAGAATCCACACTGGAGAGAAGCCTTACATGTGTAACCAGTGCAACAAACATTTCAGTCAGAGCTCTGATCTTATAAAGCATCAAAGAATCCACACTGGGGAGAAACCATATAAGTGTGATGTTTGTGGGAAAGCCTTTAGTCAGAGCTCCGATCTTATTCTACACCAGAGAATCCACACTGGGGAGAAGCCATACCCATGTGCTCAGTGCAACAAAAGTTTTAGTCAGAACTCAGACCTTATTAAACACAGAAGGATTCACACTGGAGAGAAGCCATATAAATGTAGTGAATGTGGGAAGGCTTTTAACCAGAGCTCAGTCCTTATTTTGCATCAAAGAATTCATACTGGAGAGAAACCCTATCCATGTAACCAGTGTACCAAAACCTTCAGTAGGCTTTCAGATCTTATTAATCATCAGCGAATTCACACTGGAGAGAAGCCTTTCCCATGTAGTCAATGTAGTAAAATGTTTAGTAGAAGGTCAGATCTTGTTAAACATTATAGAATCCATACTGGTGAGAAGCCCTATGAATGTGATGAATGTGGGAAAACTTTTAGTCAGAGTTCCAATCTTATTCTCCACCAGAGAATCCACACTGGAGAAAAACCATATCCTTGCAGCGGGTGTTCTAAAAGTTTTAGTCGCCGTTCAGATCTCATAAAGCATCAACGAATACATACTGGAGAAAAACCATATACATGCAATTTGTGCAATAAAAGTTTTAGTCAAAGTTCAGACCTCACTAAACATCAGAGAATACATTCCGGTGAAAAGCCCTACCACTGTGATAGATGTGACAAAGCCTTTAGTCAGAGTTCTGACCTTATCCTTCACCATAGAGTCCACACAGGAGAAAAACCATATGCATGCTCACAGTGTACCAGAAGTTTCAGTCAGAATTCAGACCTTATTAAACACCAGAGAATCCACACCGGAGAGAAACCATACAAGTGCAATGTGTGTGGGAGGGCTTTCAGTCAGTGCTCAGCTCTTACCCTTCATCAGAGAATCCACACTGGGGAAAAACCATACCCATGTGCTCAATGTGGCAAAAACTTTAGTAGGCGCTCTGATCTCACTAACCATCAGAGAATCCACATTGGTGAAAAACTACAAATATGATAGCTGTGGGAAACCCTTCAGCACTGTGACCAATCTTACTGAACATCAGGAGATGCACATAGAAGAATGTTCAGGGTAGCAGACATTTTAACAAACCTGATCTTGGTATCTTTAAGAAAACCCATTCTAGCCAGGTGGTGAGAGTGCATGCCTTTAATCTCTGCAGTCAAGAGGCAAAGGCAGGTGGATTTCTGACTCCGAGGCTAGCCAGATCTACAGAGGAAACTCCAGGATAGCAAGGCCTACATAGAGAAAGCCTGCCTAAGTGGGGGGGGGGAAGAAGGAAGGAAGAAAGAGAGAAAGAAAAGCTCCATTATGAGGAGGAAGACTGCATAAATCTGATAAATGTGGGAAAATCTTTAGTGCACAAATTTTGGTACCATACTAGAACAAAAATCAATGATATAATGACCATGAAAAAGGCTTTAATCAGTGTCCAACACATGCTCCATTTAAAAGCACTGGAAATGAATTTTATAACATTTAATTTGAGCTCAGAATTACTGTATTAAGGGAATTCTAAGGAGCTCTGGGAGTTGTTCACAATTTAAAAAGAATGAATCAATAGGCAAAAATAGAAATTGTTACCTTTGCTATAATCTAAGAAAATCTCTTCTATTGAGACAATTCACAGAGAGCATTATAAAAATGTAAGACATTAATGCAGAACTTAATATGTTTTAAAAATCAATGTGGAAAGTCTCAACTCTGAGGGAAATATATTCACCTTAGAAGCGGAAACATTTACTGAGTCTAAATTATCAACTGCACATCAGAAGTTACTTGAGTGAATGTAGGGATATCTTAAATCCTGTAATTAAAATGGTATTGCTACTGTTGTCACACATATCCTCTGGAAGGTGTAGAGTTGTGTCCTATACTGAAGCTGAGTATCTATAAATTCCCTGTGTAATACCATGCCACTTTGTCTCTTATCTATAAATTCCCTGTGTAATCCCATGCCACTTTGTCTCACTAGTTTGGTGGTGGTGGTCTAGTTTTGTTTGCATGAGTCCCTATGGTGTACACAGCAATACTAGTTTAACTTTCAGTAAAGCAGATGAAAATTTTATTGGTCTGAAATCACTTCACAGCCTCTGAACACATGAAAAAATTAATGCATAATGTGAATATTTTTCACCTATTGAGCAAAAATGGTATTTATAGTATTGTACTGTAAATATGGTAGTTCCACAATATCCACAGGAGATATGTCCCAAGGCACAGGACTTCATCAATCAGTTGATAATCTTGATGACTTCAGATGGACTCTGAATAGGCAAAGTGCATCATCTTGGAGTCAGTGTTAGAGGGTCTCAGTTCCTAATTAACGCCCCAAACTTTGAGTGCCAGTGACTCACACCCTAGTGTTTTTGCCTTCAGTGATCTTCTCACAGCCAGAACCATCAGCTACCACAAGTTCTTGCAATTTTTCCAACAGACAGCGCTAACGATTCCCAGCCCTGTTTACCAGCCATTCTCAGTGGTAACAGTTCTAAGGAAAAGAGCCAGTCTGGTCTACCCAGGAATCATAAATATGCAAAAGCAACCAGAAGAGATGCTGTTGGTACTTGTGCTTCAGTAATGCATGGGCTGATGACAGGATGAGAAGAGGGGCAGATTATATAGACAAAAGAAATAGACTCCTGTATATTCATGGTGTCCTGTTGACAAACTGCAGATTTTATGCAATTGTAGGTTGTGAGCAGGGGAAGGGCTCTTTGTGGATATTAGACAGCTGAAGCAACTTAAGAATGGCAGCATCAGCTGGTATAAACATGCTGTATAGCCAGAGCAAGGGTCTGTCACTGGGCTGTATAGCCAGAGCAAGGGTCTGTCACTGGGATAGTTGTGCATTTCGGAAGATTGGGACCTTCGGTATCACTTGGCCAATACTGCATTCCTAACATCATTTCCTTACTTAAGCACTCACTGTGCATTTTGTCCATAACTTGCATTTTGAGATATCAGCATATTAATAAATTTTCCCTTCACAATTTCACAAAAGATTCATTCTTACTGTAGACTGTAACTCAGATTTTTCTCCTTCCCATAAATGAAAACCTTCCACTTTTTCACTTACAGGTGATAAAACTGTCTTCTCTTCAGCATATCGTGATTGCCAGCACCACTACTCTTCATCTTGGGGCCTTGTTCAGTAAAGT